ACATAATTTCCACAGGTACAGTCTGGTCGTGTGTGAAGAAGTGTGGAGACATCTCTACAGCTCTCCACCTTCAGCTCAGTCTCATGTTCACAGTCAACCCTGATTGGTCCAAACACAGAGACGATCTAGAATATTCCGTCTCTGTCTTTTGTCCTGGTCACTCACTCACTGCTGCGCTGGGATAAAAGTGTGATTATTTCCATTATTTCCGTCTGAATGTGCTCCGTCCCTCCTCCTGTGGCCTGGTTTGGCACCTCCTCTGTCAAACACATCAGTCTGAGCACAAAGGTGCTGCTGCTCCCGCCTCCTGGAGCCAACGTTCAGGAGAGTCGGAATCACCGATTGAGGAGGAAAAGGTTTGAAGACGAGGCCTGTCTGTTGGTGAGGAGGTATCAATATTCTGATTTACACACAGGAACCTGATGAAAATGTATGAACAAACATCTGTCTCCACAATGAAGAGGACACCTTTCAACCACAACAAGTCAGGGAAGAAGTTGGAAGAGATCATTTCAGGAGAGAAAGCGGGGGATTTGAACTCCTCCGTCGTCGTCCTGGTTTCTAGGACAAAAATATCCTCAAAGAAATTCCATCCAATGACGTGTGTTAAGACCATGAAGCGGACGAACCCTGGTGCAGAGGAAACACCTCCAATTCTGATCCCAGAGAAAACTCCTCTGTTGGTTTTTATTCATGAAGACAATACACACAATCAACCTGCGTTCGACTTGGTCTTCAATATTTGATCATGAAAACACCCCGAGGCTCCTGACACTCTCACATCACTCTTTGTCTTTTTCATCTCCGTCAGACGGAGCCGCAGGCTTTTAATAATTGAATTAATTACAATGACAACGTTGTGTGTCCTCGTCTGATTGTAACAGGATCAGTGGGACGATAAGAGCTGGTGTCAGGCTCTGAGCTGCGGCAGAAGAACCCACGCGTCTGTTCCCGCCCACAGTCACTGACACGAACACCACTGACACTGCAGGGTCTGTTTTTAACTGGGAAAAAATTTAAATCAGGAGAAATGAACAGATTTTCTTAAGAAAATTGTAATTAAATCCAGTCATGTGTTATGTTAATGATTTAGCATCGTCCTGGCTAATTTGTAAGTATTTTTGCTAAGCTTTAGCTATAATGTGTTTTTGTTCTTTGTTGGCTTAAATTTATTTAATGTTTAAACCAAAGATGTTTGTTTAAACCAAACATCTTCTGATTTGTATTGGTTTTATTGGTTAAATTTACTCGTTTACGACCATTGTTTTTACCCACTTTTGTCCACAGTGATGCAGTGAGACAGAACTAGTCAGCTGTGCTGTGATGGACTCTGACAGCCTTTGCTCAGTGGTTGTGTTGTGGGCTGCAGACCACGATCACAGTCACAACCTGCTGTAGTATCAGCTGCTTCTAAACGGTTCTGTCTAACTACTGAAACGTGTGTTAAGTTTGGACTCCATTTTCCACACTTTTATTTTGGGGTTCTGTGTTAATTACCAAAGGGGAATTAATCTAGATTGAACTCATCTATCAAAACGATTAACACCAGAAGCTCTGAGATGACTTTTTTAGTAAACTGTGGGAGTGCAGAAGTTTTGGTGCTTCGTCAGCGACATTCTGGGTTTGGATCCACTTCTACAAAGATTGTTTTTTTTTAAATAAAAACTGAAGATTAGGGATCCTTCGGTCTACGAACAGATCTGTTTAGAAGAGATCGGACGTCCAGCCGTGAAGAAAGTGTTCGTCTGAGTGACAGACGACCACGTCCAAGGATACACAGCAGACAGTCACTGTAATGGACTGTGATTAAAGAACTGATGAGTGGAACTAACGAGGCCTTTAATGATCCAAAGACAAAGAGGACAACGGGAACGACTGGACACCTGTAACGACCACAGGCACGGGCTGGACGTGGTGACACAGATCAGTGTGTTTAACAGCAGCAGCAAGTCTTCAACAACAGGAGGACAGGAAGTTACTTCTCCGACAGCTGCCCTCTACTGGCAAGAGGTTCAGTACAGATATTTTTAATTTTAACTACTGTATGTGGAGATCTATGAACGCAGAGGCACTCACATCAGCAACGACCTCAAATGGAAAACAAATGCAGATCAAATCCACAAAAAAGCCCAGCAAAGACTCTTCCACCTCCAACAGCTCAAGAAGATCAGAGTGAAACCTCATCTCCTGTTAAAAGGAAGATGGGTGATGATGGTAACAGTTCTGGACCTGAAAAGATATCCTAGCAAGTAAGAGTAGTTGCGGCAGCCATTGGATCTCCAAGTGGAAATCACGTTTTTTCAAGAGACTTTTTGCTCTAAGCGGAGACTTCCTTTGTTCAAAGACTCTTTCAGTTTAATAAGTATTGGTACAGTATTCATTACCGACTGATCCTGCAATAAACTTTTGGACAGCGCTTCTGTCTTCGTGTGTTGCATTTGGGTCCAAAAGTCCAACATTCCTGACACTGAATGTTGTTGATATTTTCCACAAAAACTTACATGTAGAAGTCTTTTTTTTTAAAATAAAACGCAGAGGGTTCAAATTCAAAGAACCTAATAGTACAGAATAATCCAGTAGCAACAGGCATGTAATGGACGTCAAGGACATCACAGGCACCAAAGACATTGTGGGGTAATACACAACCAGGCTGCAGGTCGACAGAAACTGTTGTTATTTGACAGTTGCTGTTGAACATCAAGAAAGCTTAACTGATTGTTATTTGGCAGTTGCTGTTGAACATCAAGCAAGCTGTGTTTTCGATGGATCCTCCAGTTGACTTAGGTAAACCTGCTCAACCTGACAAAGTCCTCCCAGGATCCTACCTCCATTCTGGATCCTCAACCTACCGTGTAGAGGCCTTCCTGGGACAAGGCACTTATGGCATAGTGTCAAAATGTCTGAGACTGGAGGACAAGCAGACAGTTGCCATCAAGTTGCTGAGGAAGTACGGCCCCTATCTAAAGCAGGCCAAAATGGAGCTGGCTGCTTTGAACAAGCTGAAGAATCTGGACGCAGACAAATGCAACCTTGTCCGGTGGCATCAGGTCTTCACCGACAGAGGGCATGTTTGCTTGGAGTTTGAGCATCTGGACAAGAGTCTTTATGACTTAATGGCGGAGAGGAGTGGCCGTTCAATGCCGTTAAAACAGATCAGACCACTAGTTTACCAGCTGGCAGTGGCACTGACTCATCTGAAGGCTCAAGGTATCATTCACGCAGATTTGAAGTTAGAAAATGTGATGTTGGTCAACCACATTCAGCAGCCCTTCAGAATCAAGTTGATTGACTTCGGCCTGGCCCGTCTAACAACAGAAATAAAAATAGGGTCCTATATTCAAAGCCGGCCATATCGATCTCCAGAGATCCTACTTGGCCTGCCATTCACAGAGGCCATTGATATCTGGTCTCTTGGCTGCTTGGCTGCTGTTCTCTACCTGGGCACCCAGCTCTATCCTGGGAAAACAGAGTACCTCATGATGACTTACATTGTGGAGACCCAGGGTCAGCCTGCAGACCACATTCTCTCCCGTGGACGCAAGACTAAACGTTTTTTCCAACGAGTCACAAGCTCCACCAGCTCCACCAGCTCCACCAGCTCCACCAGCTCCACCAGCTCCACCAGCTCCACCAGCTCCACCAGCTCCACCAGCTCCACCAGCTCCACCAGCTCCACCAGCTCCAACAGCTCCACCAGCTCCCAGTGGAAACTCAAGAATCCACAGAGGATCAGCGTTGAGACAGGTCATATGCCAAAGGATGAGAGGAGTATTAAGTTAACCTGTTTAGATGACCTCGTCACTAACCAGAAATACTCTTATCTAAGTGATGTTGAAAAAGAGGCTCAAAAGACTGATACCATCATTTTCATCAACCTTCTTAAAGGGATGCTCCACCTTGACCCTTCCGAACGCCTCACACCCAGTCAGGTGGTTGAGCATCAGTTTATAACGATGCAACATCTCCACAGCATGATCCCCCTCAGCTTTGAAGTGAGATCCAACTTTCACCTCATGGACCAGTTTAAAAAAAGAACTGTGGTCAGTGAAAAGGATGAAACACTGCAGCAGCCGTCCTCTACCAGGACTGTTCTTGTCAAAAAGAACTGTCATCCCAACACCAAAAGTAGCTGTGTTTGGACCAACGCTTTTTCCAAGGCCACAAGGACTGATGAGTCACTGCTTACGGTAAAAGCCACCTTTCCCCCCTTTAAAAGGAAGATGGCTGATGATGGCAACGATTCTGGACCTAAAAAAAGTCGTACTGACTATCGTGCCTTACCTGTTAAAAGGAAGCTGGCTTATGATAGCAACGATTCTGATCCTAAAAAGCGTCGTATTGACTATGGTGCCGTCACTGTTATAAGGAAGCTGGGTGATGATGAAGACAGTTCTGGACCTAAAAAGAGTCGTACTGACTATCGTGCCTTACCTGTTAAAAGGAAGCTGGCTTATGATAGCAACGATTCTGATCCTAAAAAGCGTCGTATTGACTATGGTGCCGTCACTGTTAAAAGGAAGATGGGTGATGATGGTAACAGTTCTAGACCTGAAAAGATTCGTACTGACCATGGTGCCATCCACGTGGGCGTTGAAGTCCCCCAACAGGACGATGGAATCCCCGGGAGGAGCACTGTCCAGTACCCCTCCCAGTGTCTGCAAGAAGGCCGGGTATTCTACACTGCTATTCGGCCCGTAGGCCGAAACAACAGTGAGACACCTGTCCCTGACCCGAAGGCACAGGGAAGTGACCCTCTCGCTCAGTGGGGAGAACTCACGACTGGCAAGCTGGGGAGCTATAAGTAAGCCTACGCCAGCACGCCGTCTCTCACCGCAAGCAACTCCAGAGTAGAAGAGAGTCCATATCTAGTCGGTATCGCTCAACCACCTGCACGAGCTCAGGCTCTTTTCCCCCCAGCGAGGTGACATTCCATGTCCCCATAGCCAGAGTGGTTGTCCAGGGATTGGGCCGTCGGGGTCTCCGCCCACAACCGCCACCCAAATCACAAGGCACCGGCCCCTTGTGGGCCTTGCTGCGGGTGGTCGTCGCTTGTTCGGGCTGAGCCCGGCCGGGTCCCGTGAGCAAGGACCCGGCCTGACCATGGTGCCGTCCCTGTTAAAAGGAAGATGGCTGATGATGGCAACAGTTCTGGACCTAAAAGGATTCGTACTGACCATAGTGCCTGGTTTACAAGTGGTAGAGCAGGTATGTTCTGGGTTCCGTCTGTTCCTACTGTGAGCCTAAGCTCCAGAAACTCACTAATTTCTGTATCTGACACTTCTTCCAGCTACTCCAATGGAAGTGAAGCAGATTGAACACCCCGATGGAGACGTCCAGATACATGGCATTGAATGACCTGTGGGGCCTTGTGGGAGCCGCCCTGCAGCAAAGAACTACTACTTTCCTATTTGAGTGGTGAGCTCTCAGTGCTACTGACTTCATGGCCTTTATTTGGTGTTGTGTTTGGGGAATATTGATAAAGTTATCTGTGTTCTGCTTCACATTTCTTGAGATTCAGACCTGTTTATGTGCTCTGTTCTGTGGTACAGTCGGTTAAGTGTTTTGTTTGAGGGCGTTAAACGATCACTTTTAAAGTGATTCAATGTGATATCACCAGAGAAACTTCCTTTGATACTAAATATTAACCCTTAGAAATTGTAAAAAGTTCCAAGTCTTTGAAGCTACACAGTTCATGGTGTCTTTGATTGCTTTTATCTTAACCAGATGACTCTGTGTGCAAGAACTCTCCAACTGGTGCGACTTTATGAATGTGATGTGATATTTTTCCACAACACCATACATTTATGAGCAGTGACCGGTGTTTGTGGTCAGAACTTAGTGCTGACTTTTTCAGCAGGTGTTTGACAAAACTGTGATTCTGTAAAGAATGGTCCCCACTCTACCTGCCCAGAGTGAGCAGGTAGTACCACCAGGCACTCTTAACTCGGGCTCCTCCGTATACTGCGTGCAGTCCATCCTGGGACAGGGCGCCTATGGCATTGTTGTCAAATGTGTAAGAATAAAGGACATGACCACTGTTGCCGTCAAGATGATTAAGCAACGGCCGTGTTTTCTGAAGCTAGCCAACATTGAAGTGGCCGCTTTGAGCAGACTGAAGTCTCTGTGTGTTGACAAATGCAACCTTGTCAAATGGCACAGAGTCTTCATGGACAAAGGACATGTGTGTTTGGAGTTTGAACACCTTGACAAGAGTTTGTACGAGTTCCTGAAGGAGAGAGACCGCTGTTCACTTCTTCTGAAAGAGATCAGACCCATCATCCAGCAGTTGGCCAATGCACTCAACCATTTAAAGCTCGCAGGCATCATACATGCAGATCTCAAGTTGGAGAACGTGATGTTGGTCAGCCACGAGAAGGAGCCCTACAGGGTCAAAGTCATTGACTTCGGCATGGCCTGTAAGGACTCGGAGGCCAAAGTAGGGTCCTACATTCAAAGCCGTCCATATCGAGCCCCAGAGATCATCCTAGGACTTCCATTCACCGTGGCTATTGATATGTGGTCTTTAGGTTGCTTGGCTGCTGCTCTCTACCTTGGGACCCAGCTCTACCCTGGAAAGACGGAGTACGACATGATGAGGTTCATCGTGGAGACAAGGGGTCAGCCAGCAGACCACCTCCTCTCGCACGGACGAAAAACTTCTCGTTTCTTTCAGAGGGACAACAGTTCCACCCCTTCCCTGTGGAAACTCAAAAGCCCACAACAGTTCTATACAGAGACAGGGATTCGCCCAATGAAGAACAAACATTTCAGGGTTACCCGTCTGGATGATCTTATTCACACTCAGGCCGTCCACTGTGATAATGCTGCAGATAAAGTTGCTCAAATGAGTGACGCACTAATGTTTGTAGACATGTTGAAGGAGATGCTTCATCTTGATGCAACCAAACGAGCTACACCCGGTCAAGTGCTGCAGCACAAGTACATCACCATGCAGCACCTCATCAGCATGATCCCTCACAGTAACCACGTAGTCTCCTGTTTTCACATAATGGACCGTTTTCAGGACAAAAAAGATGCCCGTCCATCTCTGCAGAAGAATTCCCCCAGGTCTAATATTCCTGTGGAGCTGACTGCAATGTACAGGAAATAAAGGACTCTATTATTACTGCAAGGACCCAAGACTAAGTGAAAATGTCCTGGACCTGGACCTGGATCTGTTCAGAATAACAACAAGTGCATCCAGGATACAAGAACATCTTCATAAGCAAAGAGCAAAAACGCCAAGCTCCATGAGAAAGGCAGGTCGACTGACTCTTCAAACACACAAAAACATCAGGTTGCATCTTCAGCACCAGACTCAACGTCTAATCAGAAATAAAGATGAGAGAAAAGAATCATAGGTCAAAAAGTTTCTTTTTTATCTAGGGGTGTCCATTTACAGGAGTCTAACGGGTTTTTGGAACAGTGATCATACACATACAGACACTAACGCTCTCTATTGGCAAGAATCTGGTGATACGATAAGTATCATGATACAGGGTTAGATATCAACAGTTTGATATACGGCCATATACTGCAAGTCTTTGAGTTCGTAGCTGTAGTCCCAGTGTGATCTAGTCTCAGACTCTGCCCCCCCCAGTGTGATCCTAGTCTCAGACTCTGGTCCATCTGAACATCAGTTCCTAACTCTGGAACAGAGGGGTCTACATTTGGAATCACTAGAGAAGAAAGAAAAGAACAAGAACATGAACCAATACCAGGAATATTGGAAAAAATCAAGAACTGATCAATGACTGAGGAGACTGATAATAACGACAATCATTGACAGTAATGATGAGGTGAGCAGGACACACACACACACACACACACAGTTTCTGCTGGAACCATTCTGGGTCTTTGATAGAAATATTTTCTCCTGTTCTTAGTCTGTTGAACCATACCAAACACACACACACACACACACACACACACACCTTCTGTTTTGTGGAGAGGCCACAGCAGGACACGTGTTAATAGGTAGTGAGGAGCACATCAGAGGAGGAGAACAGTGGTGATTATCTTCTCCACCTCCTTGAAGTAATGGATGAAGGCTCCACCACAGTCATGTAATAGGCTACTTAAGTCTGTGAAGACTGTGGAAATGTCTCCTCGTTCCCTATTCGCCAGCTCCTCTCACCACTCTCTGTTTTTGTGCTAAAATCCACTTTTGTCTGAATGGCTCTGATGAATAGCTGTGAGGATCTGGGTTCTTCTTTCTCCCTGACACAATAATGAAAGACCACACCATCAACGTGCTTTTTACTCCCCCTCGGACAAATCCCCGCAATCAAGAGTCATTTAAGAATATGACACATCCGGGCGCTGAAGACCCGCGTGACCGAGGAGGAATAATCACACTGTTATCCACACTCTGACATCATTAATGAGGCGGAAGAAAAGAAGAGCAACCCTGAGGTGAAGAGGAGGACAAGAAGAACCAGGAGATAAATGGACCTGTTGTTCCGACCTGATCACTTTGTCCTAGTCGTAGCTGCAACAGGAAGTGCTATACAACGAGCTAATTTAAGTTTTGTATCATGGGAAAAAAAAAAACAGGCTTTTAAATACTTATGAAAAAATGTTCATCGTTTGCTTCTGCAGCTCAAACATGTGGCTCTTGTTCACGTCTGACAGACGGGGGTTCATATTTTTCCTTCTCAGAATCCATTCACTCTGACAGTATATGATTATAACCTTCAGTCAGCTCGCACGGATGGTTTTCTAACCAGATTTTCAGCACAAAACTCCAAACAAAGACATGACAAATGAGAAACGTCCAATCGGACCCGAGGTAATAACGTGAAGGCAGCAGGAAGCAGCAAATGGAGTCTGATGGAGAAAAGATGGAGTTCCAACGTATCAGTCGGATCTGCAACCAAATCAACAGCCGACCAGGGAAGATTTCTGTGCTGCTTCGCTAAAAACTAATTTCACTGAAATGAAGCAGGAAGTGTTATTGTTAAAGGAGGCACCATTAAAGCACCGCGGTCCAACCCTACTGCAGAGCTGTCAAATATGAGGGGGATAATAGGTTTTATTGGCTGCAGGAGAACGACTCCCCACAGTAAGATCACAAATATTAAGGTTTTTTTGTTTTTATTTATTTCAAGTTCAGGCCCTTCTTTCAACAGTGATTGTTTTTTATTTCTCAGAGGCTGAAACAGTTGGACTGCACTTTTCTGGAACGAATTCAATATTATTAAGAGTGAAGTGATTAAGTCAGTACGTTATAAAGTACTGACCAGGACAGGGGTCTCCAACTGTACTGGTCGGAGGGACAGGATTTTTTATTATTTCATTTTGGATTCCAGTCACGGCCTGATTGGACCCTTCGTTGGACCAGTTTCAGCCCACTGGCCACAAGTTGATAATCACTGGATTAGTACTGATTTTCTAAGGTTTTCACTCTCTCATACCTTAGGTGGCACAAACTGACCAGCGGAGGCAGCAGTGGACCACACGCTACTACAGTGTGAATAACTGAATCCGACAGAAAACTTATTCTGTGATATCATCAATTTAATCGGGCAGAAATGTATTTAAACATGACTTTTGGAAACTGAATTTCTTGACTCTAATCCCTGACTTTGAATTCCTCCTCGTCTGCGACGCGGGTCCGACATGATAAAGGCATAACAAGTCACGCTTATCAGAGTAGAAGAAGAACAAAAAAAAAAAAAAAAAAAGGACTACGCTGGAAGAGAAAATAATGAGAACGCACAGGAGAATGTGAGATGTAAAAACTCGGGGTCGGACGGCAGCGGCTGCATGATAAACTCTAAATCGATAGTGACACCACTCTCTTGTTTATTTGCATTTAGATAGTTTTATCCGCTCGGTGAAGTTGACTCTGACACGTCGCTGCTTGTGTTTTCAATAAGATCTTTAAAGGACGTTTCCCCCTCGTCTCCGTGATAAGGGTCTTATGCAGAACTATGCAAAGACACAGCGCCTGCTGCAGGATTAACATACACATGTAAATGAAGAGCCGGCTCCGAGGCTTCAGCCGTCGTCAGAGGTCAGCTCGTTACCAGACGCCACTCGCTCGGTTCACTGCAGCTCATTTGTTACAGGAGATCATTTCAACACTTTTCTTTATTGTTCCGTGTCACTAGTGTTGCTACGAGGTTATAAAAAAATAGAACACGTAGTTCAGAGCAGATCAAGTTTTTTTTGTTTTTCTCGTCTTTGGGGACTGAAAAAGCAGGGCAGGTGTTACTGTCTGTTTATTATGACAGAGGTTAACCTAGATAAGTTTCCAAAGTTTGGACAAAGGCACAGATTCCAAAAATTCTCCAAAAGTAACTGAGGAGCCCAAAATCTGCTCAAGATTTAATACAGAGAAATGAAAAAAAAACACAAAGATTCCAAACATTAGCCAGAGCTACATTTAGCCTGATTGGCTTAAAATCATTCAGTAAAAATGTTTTATGGTAAATCTAATAAATGTTCATCTCAGAAAAACTCACTGAGTTTTTAAAAAAATTTTATGACCTTTGTACCAGGTAGAACATCCACATGGTTCTCTGATCCGTGAACATGTGTCACCTCACCAATTACACACAGAGACACATGTTCACCTTTTCATTTTTCCATTTTCAGGAGGAGGACTGCTGTGAAGAATCATCGACTAAACTCTGTGTCACAGCAGAACAAGCCCCGTTTGCCACCACGTTCTCAGTCTAATTAGGAGCCTTTACCTTCTCCACGGAGTCGGCTTGTTAATGGAACGATGTGACGGAGAAACAGCTCTGACTCAGAGAGAAGACCGGTAAAACACGGAAGGATAACGTCTGTGTGAGTGGGCAGTTATTAGCCCCAGTGTGGTCAGGAGGTGTAATGACATGAACGGATGACAACACGTGTGTTTGAAAATGAAAAACTCAAGACTAAATTCTGTTTCAGTGCTTTTGAGCAGACAACAGTTCTAACCCACACAGACAGACAGACAGAGATTTTTTTTTTGTTTTTTTCTGCTCTTCAAGGATTCTACAATGTTTTTTTGTTTTTGTTTTTCTGCTCTTCAAGGATTCTACAATCTCCAATCAATGGTTTGGCCCGTGGACCACCTGAGCCTCAGCTCCGGACCACAGGTGCAGCCCTGAAGTTGACTGAAGGATTTTCAGTCACTCTGCTGCTCAACCATCTACACCATCTACACAAATGGTTTTTAAAATTGGTTAAAAAACAAACTCTCTACGGTGTTTAAAAAAAACACAACAAGAATATATAAAAGTATTCTATCAAGTACGAAGTACTTTAAAAGGTTGAAGAATCATAAATACAAGGTTTACATTTCTGCACAACAAATGTACTCTGATAATTGTCTCACAACTTTGTGGCCAGTTTACTTTTTCTTAAAAAAAGAAATTTGGCTTTTTTATGATAATGATAATCAGCTAAATAAATATGATAGACCTTTAGTGTCGCAGCCAAACAGTCAGAATGATCGTTAATTGACTTCTTGGCTGGAGTGTAAAGTCATTTCTATTAGACTTTAAAGAGAGTATTTAATATTCACACGAGACGAGTCCAAGTGTCGTAGTAACCTTTACTATAAATAACACCAGGTCCCGCAGCAGAAATAGAAGCAGAGTAAATGAATCACTTAAAAACCCTCAGAAAAAAGAGTCACAGCCAGTCAGTGGTTTGACATCAATGTTACAGAAGGAAGAACACTGTTCTAGAAAAGTTGGGACAAAATGGCCAGAAATTATATTTGAAAAAACACAGCCGAGTCAGTTTGACTTTCACCTGCAAATGTGAAAAGCAACTTTTTATTTTTAATTCTGCTCAATATTCTCCACCAAACACAAGAACAGGTCATTCCACTTTAGAGGAAATTGCGTTGATTGGTCCTGAAATCACGGTGTGTTTCATATGAAGAAGCGTTCAGGAAAACGAGGCTCTGACTTTGCAGCAGATGACAAGAGTATGCGACACTTTTTATTCCCCAGTCTTGGCTCTAATCATTTTGGCATTGACTTTTTTCCACTTTAAAGGGAGCAGTAATTTATCAGAACTGCTTTCTGGGAAGACTCTGTGTTCTCTAACCAAGTTAGGCCGGGCTCCATGTGAAGTTCACGTCTGTAGATATGGTAGCAGTAGCTGCGGGTCATGTGGTTCTCTGTGACATCATACATGAGCTCACCCTGCAAGGTCCTGTTTTCAGTATGTGGAACGTGGAGAAAACTGGGCTCCTATTGGTCAGTCAACTTTGTCAAGATATGAATCGAATAGATATTGTTCCAGGGCGACTAGTAACCATGGGTGAGGAGCTAAAGTTAACCAGCCTGAACTAATGTGTCCCATTTTATGATAGCATAAAAAAAAAAAGTGA